ATCTATCTATCTATCTATCTATCTATCTATCTATCTGTCTATCTATCTATCTATCTATCTATCTATCTATCTCTCGTTCTCTTTTGTCTCTCTCCTCCTCTCTCTCTTTGAGTGTGTATGTTCGTGTGTTTGTGTGTGTGTGTGTGTGTGTGTGTGTGTGTGTGTGTATTATGTATGTGTCTGTGTGTGTCTCTGTGTGTGTGTTTGTGTGTGTGTGTCTGTGTGTGTGTCTGTGTGTGTGTTTGTGAGCGCACGTGTGTGTGTGTGTGTGGGGGGGGGGGGGATGGGGGGGGGGGGGGTATTATAATGTATGTGTCTGTGTGTTTTTTTGTTTGCTGTGAACAAAGATTTTCTCAATGCACAGTGCTTGGTGTTTTTATTGTTGCTGACAATAGATACATGATGTTCTTTGTTGCTTTTCCCATGTGTTCAGAGTGTGTATAATGTATTTTTGTGCACATCGTTGTTGTTGTTGAAGTTGTTGTTGTTGTCGTCGTCATCGTTGTTGTTGTTGTTGTTGTTGTTGTCATTGTTGTTGTCCTTGTCGTTGTTATTATTTTGAGGGTTAATGCATGTCCTTTTTGTTCTTTGGTGTTAAATGTTGCCTGCTCACCTCAGCCATTTTCTCGCTTGTTTGACAAATCTACGCTTGTTTCATTATCTTTCTGTTTTAACAACTAGATCTATTCTTGCTTTTTAATATAAGTATTCCACGTTACATGTTTCTGTATAATATTCACCTATTGAAGTCCACTTATTATGCTGCTTGCTTTTTATGTGAAATGGTGTGCAGATGTGTTCTCTCTATGTTTGTCTTGTGAGTATTCTCAAATAACTGGTGCTGCATGTGATTTCGGTCAGATCACTTGTTTAAGTTCCTCAGATTGTCGCCTCTTTTGGTCTCGATGCCAAAAAGATCGGACGGATACGTGATGGTGGTGGTGGTTGTGGTGATGATGATGACGATGGATGATGATGATGATGGAGACGACGATAATGACGATGATGATGATGATGATGATGATGATGATGATGATGATGATGATGATGATGATGATGATGATGATGATGATGAGGATGATGGTGGTGATGGTGGTGATGGTGGTGGTGGTGGTGATAGTGACATGGAGGTGGTGGTGTTGCGATGACAGTGGTGATGATGGCGGTGGTGAGGGTAATAGTTATGATGAAAATTATAACAACAATAACACAATCTTGCCATTCCCACTCGCCCCTCAACAACAAAGCTTGGAGACAGTGAACGCCTTCAGAGCGTTGGTTCGCAAGCAAACGTCAATCAACGCTTTCGATCAGCTAAAAGCCCAGACCTCTGACGAGGGCAAAAAGCCACAACAACAACAACAACCACTGCAGCAAGGGGCGGGAAAGAAGGCGGAGTTTCCCCAGCACTTGGCCCCGCCCCCAAAGCGCCAGAAGCGAGGGCGCATGATGCGTCACCGGACGCTTCCGGTCACGGCAGAAGAGCTGAACGCCGTGCCAGAGAATCAGGAACTGGCCCTAGACCCGGCCTGGACCAAGGTGAGGGTCGGGAGGATGCGGAGAGAGAACGGTGGGGGCTCGGTGGTGGTGGAGAGAG